TTTATTTTCATAAACTTCGTGCTTTAATTTACTTGTTATTTATACTTTATTTTTATCATTTTCGCGCATTACTTGCTATTTGTTCTCCACAAATTTTATGAACTTTCTTCATAATTTTATGAACTGAAAAGTAACTAAACATAAGTTGTTATACGAATACAAGGTTCGTGAAAAGATAATGTTCAACACAAAATAATGTTGATTAAAGGGTTAGGTCGATTAAAATGAGAGATGTTTTTAATACAAAATAGCTGGTTCTTCGCTGAAACAATGGGTCAGTCGGTCATTGTTTGCTGTCACTGGCAACCAGCCATTTTATGTTAAGAATATTGAAGGAAGATTCCTGTGCTTACTTTTATTAAACATTACACTCCAAACCGACATACCACAAGTACTTCGACTTCACATGGATTTCTAATTTTTAAATTTTCGTATTTGGATATTTTCAAATTCTCAAAGAAAATCTTCCAAAATTGTCAGATTTAGAAATTTAGATATTCATAAATTTTTGAATATAGAAATTTGAGTATTTTTTATTTGTCAACTTTTAAAACTTGGACATTTTCAACTTGTCAAAAATAGAAAGTATATTCCCAAATTGTCAAATAAAAAAATTTTCAACTTGTCAAAAATAGAAAATATATTTCCAAATTTTTAAATATATAAACCTAGACCGACAAACTATACATTATTTACAACAGTAAATTAAATACACTCCATTAGCTGTGATAGTGATCACAGCTAATAATGATTAGCTGTAACTGATGAGTTGCAATAGTTAACTAAATGCAACAGTCAATAACTCTAGGTAATTACACGACATAAGTAGCCACTACAGTTAATTGAATACCACAATCAATTACTCACCGCTATTACGAAACGCTCTAAAAAAAAACGTATATGAATAATTTAAAATTTATGCATTCTTATAGCTCACTTATGAATGGACACTCGTTCAATTTTTTAGTTAATGGACACTTCTTACGTTTGCAACATCTCACGATTTTATACGTAACGTCTGTATACAGTTAGTTTCACGTGGTCCCTTTGTAATGCCTCTCGTAATGACATTGGCGGCGAAGCAATTTCCGTTAACTAACCGGCGAGGTTGCATAAATTGTAACACCATTATCATCCTAATTACGCGATGCACTTTGACGTGAAATCACTGTACGTATTCGAATAACGCGGCAATTACTAGTAAACGGTTCCGAATAAACGACGATAAAATGACGCTTAATTAATAATATTAGAAGTATCAGCGACTCCGGGAAAGGAAACTTAAATCGAAATATCAGGCTGCAAGATTTGTGTCTCGAGGTGAGTTGCAAATTTTATCGATGATAATCGAAATATTTAATAACAGGTATTTCAGGTTTTTCTTCATGAAAAGGAAGGTAATTTTACCAGTAAAAATGGGAGAAAATTATTTTATATTCAGCATGATTAGATTTCAATATGAGATATGATTTTTCTAAATCTTTTAAATATGATACATCTTTCAGTATGAGGATGTGCGAGAAAATGAAAGATAAAATGTTTACGATACTAAAAAATTATATACGATACCAAAAAATATTTAGTATAAAAATTTTAAATTTGAAAGCAAGGAAAAGACCATACAATTTGTCAGTTGAAAAAGAAAATTGAAAAACTATGAAATTATGAAATTGTTAATTTTAAGAATTTAAAAAGTATGAAACTGTAAAATTGTAAAATTGTAAAATTGTAAAATTGTAAATTTAAAAATTTTGAAAGTTATACTTTCTAACAGCGATTAAAATTAAAAAATTTAACAACGGAAACTGAAAGAATTTAAATATTAAAAAATCCAAAAAATATAATAACAAGAAAGTTTGTAAATGAGAAAATTGTAAAATAGAAAAATTTGCTTCCAAGCAACATTGTAGCGCCGTACAGCCACTGCACTGGGCATCCGTTTAAGTAGAATAGAACGATTATGGTCAGACGCGAACAGCGTGGAACGTAAATAATAGTATCCATGATCAGACGTACCAAGAAACACACCCATAACTTTCTAACTTACTCAAATTTTCTAAAATTCATAATTTAGATATTTTATCACTTAACCAGTTGATGTTTATGCAAATGCAGATTTTTATACAAGAAAAATAAAGATGTAGAGCATGGATAGAATTTTATTACGTCATTTGCATACACTGAAAATTTGCTATTTTACATATTATATTTAAATTTTCGCATATTATATTTATACACAAATATTCCTCTCAGAAAATACATTTTGTCCATTTTATTCTGAGAATCTCAAAAAATATGAAGAACGTATAGAACTGAAATCCTAAGTAATAAATTACAATTTCTACATGCTTCTTAAAAATCAATCTTCAGCGAAATCCTTTGCTTACGCGATTCAAAGAATCTTTTATCGAAAGACATTCTTACATGTTCTCGAAAGTTCTCCCGTTTTCTGAAAGCTTTTTCCAGCTACTGAACTTCACGGTGAACTCAAAGAATAGTATTCGAGACGAATAATGTAAAAGATCGGGCTCATTTTTATTCTATCAAAGAAACATCGTAGGACATTATTTCAGATCTTCGTTTACAGTGTTAGACATTTTGATTAAATGAACTTGTATTGAAACATGTTGTAGAATTGTATTAACACATGTTTAGATGATCCTAAGGGCATTATGTAGTTTTAGATACAAATATCAATTCGCACCATGTTACAATCTTTTTAAATGCAAAATACGTAAAGTAGAAATTTTCAAGTAACTATTTAATGAAATGATATAACTTAAGAATTTAAAAATTTTAGATATGAAATTTATTTACTAAGAATTATTTAGAAAAAAATGAATAAGCATTTTCAAGCTTCTCTCTTCCATAAATATCCGTGAGAAACCATTCGTGAGGAAAAATTCTCTAATTCCAAAAGGTTTCAAAATTCCGTAGATTTCTTTAAAGCTTACACCCGTAACTCAGCTACGCAACAGCGCGAATAAATTCCGAATCTGCTCAACAAGTGAACGCGCAATAAAAAGCAGCGTTCTACAAACCGTCGATAAATTCGACAAACACGAAACCAAACGGGAGCAAATAGAAAGCAAAACGTACACATTGTCAACTCCTTTACAGAATCCTCTGAAAATTCAACAGCTAAAAAAGGGTAGCAAAAAAACTGACTGCTCCTTTCCCGTGAAACGTCCATCGAACGGCCATTGTAAATAAACTTGAAACTCGATGAACAAGCAAATGCAGGACAAACAGAGTTACGATACGCGGACCAAATCGAACAAGCTGGAATCTGAATGAAAACAAATATATTAAAAAAGGAAAAGAGATAAATAAATAAAGGTAAGATGGACATTTCGCCAACCCCTTCGACACCCTGACGAAAATTCGTCAGATGTATTGACTGGAGCACCCACGCGGACATAAATCCCTGTTTACTCTGTCGTCTGACGCACAGGAGGGTGAAACATGGTTGATTGGCAAGTCAGACCCTCGAAGGTTACTTTCGGAAGGTCTCGTACGGTCGATAGGTCACAGTTCGATGTGTGTGCAAACATAATTTCGGTAGTGCTCACAGATCAACTGTAGCACCGGTTCGAAAGGGCGTTGAAAGAAAGGGTGCAAAGGAGAGATTTCGTCGAAGATTTCTCAGGCCCGCGGATTGGCAGCATCGATCAATAATTGAACGGATTCGAGGAATATAGAATGCTCCTCGAGCTGCATAGGGCATTCGAGCAATCTCAATCTTTATCGAGAGGACGAGTGCTTGAATGGCTGTCTTTGAATGAAAAGATCCAATCGGTGAGAGCAAACTGATCGAAACATTTCATCGTCTTGGAATGCTTTTAAAAGAAGCTACTCTGTTCACGATGACAGCACTCGTTGCGATTCTCATCGTCCTTTCGATTTTAAGCGATCGATAACTGCGCACCAGTTGCAGAAATGGCGCCAGACAACTTTTCATTGGGACGAGCAAAAAGTTTTGTCGTTTCTCAACACCTTGCTTTGTGATATCACGTTCGTGACGCACGTTACTGTTCAGACGTGATAAATCAGACTTGTATTTTCACCTCAATTTACATTCAGTTTTAATTATAGTTGAGGAACGTTAAATGTAACGTGACATATCAACTTTCTTTATGTTTTAATATTTAACACTAGAACTACCAACCAGTTAAAATGACTGGTTTCAGATTTCTCATTTTATATTACAAAATTTTATTGTCGTGATTTTATGGAAATGTCTGTCATATTTTGTTGAGGTAAAAACTAGTTCTATATGTTACTTGATGCTTTTAGTATTTATTTATTTCCTTTTTCATTTTATATTTCATTCTTCGATAAACGAGCATTTAATGTCGATAGTTCTGGTGTTAAGTAATAATTAGCTACTTGTGGATAATGGAACTGTCCAGAAGTTAAATTAAAAAGATTTCATACAAAATGTCCAATTTTATATACATTTAGTACTAAACGAGTAATAGATTATACAGTCCATTTCATTCAAGTCTATCGAATTCAAATGCTGAACAATTGTACTGAAAATAGTAGCAGTTATTTCTGTCACAGCAATCTATCATGGAGGGTAAAATGGATTTATTACGAGGCTAACAAAATGGGTCATCTTATCGTTTTATCGAAACAGAATAACCTTTTCATTACTCTTTCACAGATCAATAACCATTGTGCTGCAACACAGCTTCCATCAAATTTGAAACCAAAATCAACTTTGCTTTTGATTCAAATATGTACACCATACTGTAAACTAGTAAAATTGTTGGTCTACTATGAAGAGTACTACTCTCAATATTATTCCGTGTTTAATATAATTATAATCTCGAATTTATATCCTCCTTTCCCCTAATGTACACCTATATTTCACCCACATGTACATCGCACAAAATGTTACGTAAGATTGACCTGTACTCATAAGAGACCAGGAGACCCGACATCGATTATCATTTGTCTTCCATTAACAGGACTAATTAATTAAGTGAACTTGCCCTTAAGCTCCATGTCCGTGACTTGATCCGCTTTGTATGTGACCGTATCCCTGCGACCGCCAACGATGAAGTAAATATTCGTGTATTCCTCGTCGTTGCCACCAGTCCCATTCCTCGCCTCGAGGTCCATGGCCAAGCAACTAATTTCGGCCTTGAACCGGCTTCCGCTCCTCTGTACACGACCTTGTGACAGCTTGCGAGGCGACCCGGCCTTGCTACTACTCGGGGCTACAAAAACATCCGGCAGGATCTTCATCAATCGTTCAACTTTCTTTCACCACTTTGTTACTAACAAAGTATATTAACTCGAGACACGTTTAACAAAATTACGAAATGAAGAATTTTTAGCAACAATTTAATTGTGGTTCCGATTTTAATGATGTTGAAATGTATCAAGGTGGACATTTTTAATAATATGACGTATTGGAAGGTTCTTAACCTTTTGCACCCGAAAGATGTCTCACCATTTGATTTAGGTGAATAGGTATTTTTTAATTGAATTTAGAGTAATATACATATATGTGTATACACATGTGTATATATCACAGCGTATAAACACTGTGAAACAGACAACGAATACTAGAGAAATAATAACTTCAAAAGAATTCATTAAGTTTATCGATAAAAAAATTGTTAGAGTGTATGAAGTCTAGAGAATTAATACATGTGAAGTCTTAATACAAGTCTTGGAATATAGGTGATGGTAAAGTTGACTCGTTACTATCGTAGGTAACAATATGGTAGTTATTACTGTAATAGTGTATTATATATAGACATTTCTAATAAAATAGTATACCGTAATAGTACCTCGTAGTTACTACAGTAATAGTATAGCAATCATTGCTATAAATGTACACTGCAATATAGCAGTTCCCACTATAATATTATACTATAATCACATTACAATAGAATCTCCTTTATTATAACAGTATAGTATTTCTCACTGCAATAATAGTATACTAGAACAGTATAACCATAACTCGAGATACCACCATAATAATGTACAACAATACATGTAGTAGCTACTGATCTAATAACAAAATGACTAACAGTATGCAATAATATAGTTATTCGAAGAAAGAAAATGGTAAGTGAGTAAATAATTAGTTAGCTGTTAGACGAGTTTTGAAGCAAATTAGGACAGATAATATCGTTACTAACCTCTGGTCGGGTGTAGAGGGATAGCAGTATCCTCGGCGAGCTCATCGTCGCATCGCCGCCCCGGCGGCAACAACCGGGTCACCCCCGATTATTGCACCTGTCGACCCCGTACCTGCCGTGCGCAACACCTGCAGGGTGAATGATTGAACGTTGCAGGATCCTGTCGATGATCGTCGAGGCACCAGCCGAGAGGACGACCGCTCGTCTACTACCAGCTCGCTCTGCGCTCCTTCATGGTCCATTCTGAAATTCAAACCAAATACACTTCGATTAATCTTCATATCAAGTGGAACATTTTATGCTCTATTAACCGGTTAACTGCGAACATTTTTGAAATCCGTGGAGAAATGAATAGTTAAAGTCAATTACGTGCTTAGAGATAAAAGTTATTAAAAAGGTCACTTCGAATCCTTTCAAGGTCGCTGCGGATGTTATTTGACCATTGTGGAAATAATTTAAATATCGAACTTAATTAGAGCAACCTGTAACTATAAGGTTACAACCTTACATGGTATATTTTTTTATTTAAAATAGATCAATGTTCATGCGAATTTTTAGAAGTTTAACAAATTGAAGTAAACATTCGATGAATATTATTTGTTATTTCGGTGGAAAATTGACATTTTAAAATTGTTAAAGAACGATAATTTTAATTGCAATTTTTATAATTACGCATTGAATGTCACGATACAAATGCTCACATGTACGGAACATTATAATTGCCATTATCGTCAACGATAATTGCTCCTCTTTTCGAAGCTTTTTATGTTAAATTGAAATAAATAATTTCAACGAAGAAAGAATTTAATTGTGCAACTACGCTCAATTTTGATCGAAATGCATAAGGTTCTGAAGAATTTTACGACTGTCGAATAGAAACGCAAAACTGATCGAACCACGCTACATAATCAACGGAAACACATCGGTCCGTTTATTTTTAGTTTCTCCCTTTCTCGATTCATGAAATGATTGCCAGACGACACGATATCCTTTGAGGCAACATCTCCCTACATTGCATCAAAGAACCTGGCAATTCCTGTTTCTCTTCCTTTCGACGAACCGAGCTGGCAATTCGTTTTAATTTTTGGACACGTCCGGAAATAATAACCGGCTCGTGGTTAGAACCACGGCCGAGTACTGATTACGAATTGTAGGCTGCGTGATCCTTCACGATAATTTCGTTTGGCAAATGTCGGGGTTCGAGACGGACAGCTTCTTGTGCTCGGAATTTCACGTAAAATATACGTGCCGTCTCGCGCAGTATCGAAACGAGAAAAAAGAAAAATAAAGCATATATATTTACTACTTCTGAATGTCGAGCGAAAGCGAACTGATTACAGGGTATCCAGAGTAAAGCTGAACTTTCACGCTGTCCGATTCATGCAAAGTGTTGGCTGCTGAAAAATTCACGAAACACCGGCCCCGGTAAAACCTTGCGAAAGCTTCGGGAGACGAGCGGTGAATAGATAGTTTCCGAGCGAGATACACGGGATATGAAATATAAAAACGGACGCTGGCTTAGCTTCGAACAAGCGAGAAAATTTGGAACTAAGAAATAAATCGAGTGTCAGAGCGACATGGATGTTACAAGTTTGCATGTTTACTATGGAGAGAAGCGGCGAGATTTTGCAAGTGAAATTTTGTGAATTTTTAGAAATTGAAAGTTCGAGGATTTGGGGATTGGAGACTTTGAGAATTTGGAAGTTTAGCGAATTGGGAATTTGGGAAGTTGGAAGAACATTTGGAGACAATTTGGTGCATTTGGGAATTTAGGAATTTGAGAACTAAGAAATTTGGGTACTTGGGGACTAGGGAATTAGGGAATTTGGGAATGAGAAATTTGGGAACTAGGGAATTTCGAAATTAGGGCAATTGGAAACTGGAGAATTGGGAGCTAGGAAGTTTGCAAATTAGGGAAATTGGAAACTAGGGAATTCGGGGACTAGAGAATTGGAGGACTAGGAAATTTGGGAACTAGAGAAATTGGAAACTAACAAATTGGGGGACTAGAGAATTTAGGAGACTAGAGAATTTGGGAACTAGAGAAATTGGAAACTAGGAAATTGGGGGACTAGGAAATTGGGAGACTAGGAAATTGGGGGACTAGGAAATTGGGGGACTAGGGAATTGGGGGACTAGGGAATTTGGGAATTAGAGAATTTGGGAACTAGGGAATTTGGAAACTAGGGAAGCGAGGAATCAGAAAATTCAAGAACTAGGAAACTTGAGAGCTAGGGAATTTTTGACCTAAATTTGAGAACTAGAGAGTTTGATAAGTTAAAAATTGCGATGTTTTGTAAAAATTTAGAAATTACAAAGTTTCAAGATTTGAAAATTTTCTTAATGATCTTATAATTTATCTGAAAGTTACGACATTCGTGATTTAGTATGACGTGAATGTTTGAGAGTAATCAAATTGTGTACAGATTTAATTAATACACTTTCTTCAGATAAAAGGACGAGATACAGTTGGCAAAGTACAGTAGATATGATCTTGATTATGAACCGTGTAATATATACCGTCTGTATAATTCAATTACTTATTTGATTACCTTTAATTGCATGTTGCGTTGATTACGCTATGTTTCAATTAATTCCAAGGCTTCAGTCTTATTTGAGTTACTTTACAAATGATCAGTAAATGCTCTGTTATTAAACGTGAAATATGATCCATGTGAAAACCATAAGACATGGAAAACCAAAGGAAATATGAACGATATAAATTCATTAGTAATTAATTTTAAATTAAACTGTCATTTTTTCTCTGAGAAACAACTATAAAAATTGTAGAAACTCATTAACCCTTCCAAAGGTGCATTATAACATACGAGAGAATTAGAATGAATTTTATTAGAAATTTAATAGAAATGAATTGCTAGTGAAAACTATTTTCATTATTCAATACATACATTAATACATTTTTAATGCCAAAAATATGTATTATAATACATCAACTCTACGCAAAATTTATTCTTTGGTCACATTCACAAGTTTTTAATCTTAATAATTAATAGGTACATATGCTTCTTTGGTGGAATAAAAATTAAATCTGGAATATTTAAATAAAGGAGGGAATTAATTAATTCAATGAGTGTATTTTGTTTTCTTGTACTTTATAATACCAACAGGAAAGCTATCATTAAATTTAATATCCAAGATCAGAACCAATGTATTACAATTTTCATTCTTTATCTGGCAGCATGAAAATAGTTCATTTGTTTCTGCCTTTCAAGGATGTCACACCCAGATAAGACATATAGGTAAAGGAAATTTACGATTTCTTTGTTCAAGGTTACCGGAGGAAATTAAAAGCAACCTACGGTGTCTCACCCTTAACCACTGACCTCAAACAGAGGCTCACGTCACTCTACGGTGATATATGTCCGTTGACGTATATTAATGACGTTCTCGTCAAACTATATTCCCTGGTGAAATCACCGTTTACGTATTTGCATCGAACAAAATTCTTAATTCTTTGCTCTATGATTTATTTGTCAGATACGGCAGTCACTACTAAATTTCGAAAAGTAACTTATAGTTCTTTAAATTCGTCAAAATGCAATATTTTTAGATTTTTAAATATTGGAATTGCCAAATCTCCAAATTCCATTTTCAAATTTGTATGTTTTGAAATTACAAAATTTTTTAAGCTTTCAAATTTCAGAAATCCCTAAATTCATAGATTTCTAAGTATTCAAATTCGAAAATTTGAACATTCTGAAATTTTCTAAATTTCAAAATTCCCAACTCTCGAAATCCCCCAATTCCTACATTTTTAAATATCAAAATCCCCATATTTTTCCTTAGAAATTTTCCAAATTACGAAATTCCCAAATCCCGAAATTTCACAAATTCCAAAATTCCTAACTCTCGAAATTCCTCAATTCCAAAATTCCCAACTCTCGAAATTCCTCAATTCCAAAATTCCCAACTCTCGAAATTCCCCAATTCCGAAATTTCAAAATCTCCTAATTCCCTAATTCCCTAATTCCCAAATTCCCTAATTCCCTAATTCCCTAATTCCCTAATTCCCTAATTCCCTAATTCCCTAATTCCCTAATTCCCTAATTCCCTAATTCCCTAATTCCCTAATTCCCTAATTCCCTAATTCCCTAATTCCCTAATTCCCTAATTCCCTAATTCCCTAATTCCCTAATTCCCTAATTCCCTAATTCCCTAATTCCCTAATTCCCTAATTCCCTAATTCCCTAATTCCCTAATTCCCTAATTCCCTAATTCCCTAATTCCCTAATTCCCTAATTCCCTAATTCCCTAATTCCTAAATTCCCTAATTCCTAAATTCCCAAATTCCCTAATTCCCCAATTCCCTAATTCCCTAATTCCCTAATTCCTAAATTCCCTAATTCCCTAATTCCTAAATTCCCAAATTCCCTAATTCCCTAATTCCCTAATTCCCTAATTCCCTAATTCCCTAATTCCTAAATTCTCAAATACCAAAACCTCCTTCCATACCCCAAATTCCAGTCCAAAACATCCAAATTTCCAAATTTCATAATCCACAAAATATCTCAATACAAAACCTTGAAATCCTTCTATTTCTAAACAACTAACCACTAAAAGTCTATGACGAGAACTACGTAAAAGAACTACGAATGTCAGTAATAGACCATCTGAATGTATGACGGTTTTCAGTCAAACTCGCATAGAAACTCCATGAAAATGCACGTTACGTCAAATTTGTTCCGTCACCGGGCAGAAATCGAGAACCAGGAGGTTTTAATTGGATCAGGCCGTTCGTAGACGATAACATGACAAGACATTCGCTGTGATGGATACAATCGAATGAAGCTTGTCAGAAACATCGACGAGAAGATCGAAGTCGACGTCAGGACAGCCCCGAAAATAGAGGTATCAGATGTGATGCTCTCCATGCTTGACATCCTCGAAAATTGCGAAATGAAATCAGTTTCTTCCGATTCCGTCGAATATAATTATTGGATATTTAATTTAATACGCCGATTACTGTCAAATCTTATGACTGATATTACCAGGATAATTTAATTAAATATACGGGGAAATTGATGGGACAGAAAATTATATGTTCTCTCAATTACTTTTATATTATAAGTATTGTGTCTATAATGTAGATTGATATATTGATGCGTTTTAAGAGATTGAATTAATGTTTGTAGAAAGTTTAAAAATTTCTGAATTCTCCAATTTGTCAATTTTTCAGATTCTAGCTGAAAGATTTCAAATTTGAAAACTTTGAAATTTCTGCA